TCGTTTCATGGTAGAAAGAAACAGTGAAGAACAGTTCCGATGGCCAGGTGATGAAAAGTTGGGAAATGGTTTGAGATATTTTTATAAACAATATATCACAAACATTCAAACCAATACCAACACATGGTGTGAAAAACGACTTGAGAATTTTTTTCGAATGCGTTGTTGGTATCGCAATCGATTCAACAATGGCTCAAGATTTGATAGCATCGACATCAGAAATGCCAAAGAGTTTTCATATCGATTTAAGAATTTAACAAATGGTAATAATGTGGATCCACAACGCGTTGAAAAATTCAATATTTTAATGAGAGATTTGACTGAAATTGGATGGTCGGGAACAGTGAGTATGAAATTTTTCGCAAAATATCGTTGGTTTGAATCACTGTGGTTGTTCGGTCAAATGCAACGGCAAATAGAAGTGTATCACAGTCATGCCGAACAATGGAATACCATTCATGAAATGTTTCGTAACAATCCGAACTTTCAAGAGCCAACAATCAATCGACCACCAAAAATAAGCAGTTTTGCTCTTATACCATTATGCGACTACCATTTGAAAAACGTGCGATTGGACATTACGGACTTGTATAATAAAATTGTAAACAAGCTTGATTTGGTGCCTTCTTTTCTCAATACGCGGACCAACCGGATGAATAAGAGAAAAGTAGAGTACTACACCCAAACTGATCGATCAGGTCTATGGAATATGTTGTTCGATGTCGGTAAAATAAATAAATTGGGCAAATCGAAACCATGCCATCATCAGATTTTGACCGATAGTGTTTCAATATCCATAATGTACAAGAAACCACAGCGACAACAACGACCACAGCAAACAACCCAAGCGAATCGGGGGCCGGAAAAACTCATTGGCAAGAAATACATCATTGGAATCGATCCGAATGAAAAATCGTGGTTAACTGTAGTGCGTCGCAACATTCAAAAAACACCTGATGAGCCGGCTGTTAAGGTAAGATATTTTGAAATGTAATTTGAAATGGTTTTGAATAGAAACTCATAGTTTTTTGTATCATTTTGCATTTTGAAGGAAAACATTATAATACCAAACCAGCGTTTTCATTGGGAAACTCAGCAGAAAAAACGAGACAAAGAAGCGAAAAAGTTGGCTGGATGGTTTGATATCGAAGAGAAGGAACATCTCAAAACATACCCATATCGTCCACCATCACCACGTAATTCAACATGGAAATCATACATTGAATATCGCATTAAAATGTTACGAAAAGGAATGGCAGCTTATGCGACGCGTGAATATGCACGACTGAATTTAGACCATCACATTCGCTCGACCAGAGTAAATGATCAAATCGCCGTGCGTGTGACAAACAACAAACCGTCGTTGGTTCAATTTGGTGCTTGGGCGATGAAACCCGATCGACCGTTTGGAATAAAAAAGCGTAAAAGATGTCCGGGATCGCGTAAGTGTCGTGTGAGCATTAAGAAACTTGGACATTCAGAAGTTGAAATGCAAGATGAATGGGGAACATCACAAACATGCGCGAATTGTCAGGAACGTTTTCCAAAGCACACAAAAGATGATCGATTTAAAGTGTGCTACGATTGTAGAGCGAAAAAGATTGATGGCCTGCCAGATTCAGTCGCTGGACTGCCAGATATCATTGTGTCAACGGTCAACAGACGTGTTTTGAGAAGAAAACGTGCAATTATTAAGCGACAAATTATCGATGGCAATCGTGAGGCTGTGAACGAAAAACTTCGGACTGGGCGTTTAATGTCAAAGGTTAAAGTTACCTACAAAAATTGGCCATTAAATGTTGATGATGATGATGTTGTTCCACAAACAGTTACTTGGCACCGAGATATTGTTGCAGCAAAATGCATTATGCTCAAAGGTATGAATCAATTGGAAACAGAATATTCATTATTTAATGTATTTGCTTTAAATTACATAGGACTTTGCCGGATCTTTGATGTACCATTGCCAGTTTCATTGTTAAGACCGCCGGACTAAAACAACAATGTCAACTAACAAACATAATCAATTAATCATACATTCAAAAAATTACATAAAATAAAATATTTTA